GGGGGGGGGGGGGATGTGGGTATTATCTCACAGACGCACACAAGACTGATTAAAAAAATACTTGCATACAGGAGACATCCACAACACGCAAAAAACCCAAAAGTGGTTGATTTGTTACAAATTGGAAAAGTGATGTTGGTCATAAAATGTAATTTCCGTCAGTTTTCCTTTTATATTATTCAGCGGTTTCAAAACAGGATAAACTCCCACACACTGTCCTCGTTGATTTTAGTGCAACATTTCAGTCTTAATATCTTATAATAGCAAGAAAAATACTGCTCAGAAGTTGGTGCCCAATTAATGTTTGTCTTTTAAGACTAAAAACATTTCTTCAGCATATAGCCTGCATTTTACACATCACACTAATCCCTAGTGTGCTCTTGTGTGCTTCATGCAGTTTATTCATCATAAAAAAATACCCTGAGGGAAAATGAGAGGAAAGGAGGTGTGATTCAACAGAATTATTAATGGACTTTCTCTAACCAAGCTTTCTCTGGATGACTGACAGAAAAAAGTCCCTCTCATTCTGAAACACTGATATACAAGTGAGGAAGCTCTCTGCAAAGCACCCTGAAAAAGCTTTTTTTTTCTCTCTCTTTATAAAGCAATGTGCCTGTGTCAGTCAGTGTTAAATAGTAAGCTAAAATAAGCAGAGGTTACAGAGGCTGTACTGTAACACAACCATAACTGTTAACTCACAGTGTGTATTTTGTTTTTTTATTGTTTTTCTGTGTACTCTTTAATGTTATCTGCCCACTGTTGTGCCCACGCATAGTGATGGGTTTAGAGTATATCTATCTATCTATCTATCCATCTACCCACCTACCTACCTCTACCCTTCTCTATCTCTATATCTATACAGAAAGTTCTGTCTCTTGTAACAGATGGACCCCTGCAGAAAAGGTAGATCTGCATCATTGCTGTGTCAGTATCTGTCCTGCACTAAGCGGCAACAAGAGACAGAAAAAGTACTCTATGGGGAATTTAGGTTCTTCCTGCAGCTGGGGGCTTTTCTTGTCCCTAATATAGTGACGTGGAGGTTTCTACCACCTGTGTCAAACAAGACAGCAGTCAGCTTGCAATTCTCTTATATGGAACATCAGCTGTGAAACAAACAATCTCATTAGATGACTTCAAATCTAATAAGGTTATTAGGACCACCTAATTAATCCTACATCTTACATCTTTACAGTTTGGAAATAGACCACAGCATAGAAACACTACACATCTACTCACTGTATTTTTTCGGTGGGGGGTTTTAAATTTTGTATCTTTACCTCTATATTTTAACCTGGGGTGAAACGGACAGGCGCACCTTACTCAACACCCCCAAGGTCTTACTCAATCAACAACCCACTTTCTAACAACCAGACATGTTGGTCTGTCAAAAGGCTGTAACACTTTCACAAACAACTGACGTGCTAGATAATATTTTTGAGGCTGGCCTGGGGGCAGCATTAACTGGAGTGTGAGACTCCACACAGTGCAGTGAAGCCTGGAGCAGGATCTCCTTATACTGTTTGGACTGGCAGGTAAACAGTTGGCTTCCACCCATCCAGGATTTCTCTAGTAAAAGGGGACCCTTGCAGTGAATAACAGTGAGTCATCTCTACACCTTGGCCTGAGGACCCAACTGAGCACAGGATAAGAGGAGTCCGCCCAGGATATGCAAATATCAACCCCCCCCAGTCCAAATACGCAGAAGTATGGAGGCCCAAAAGTAATTCAAGAAGGACTTGAAAGGTTTCCAGGTTGAAAGTGGAGGTAATAGGGCGGAGTGGATAAGTGAGAGTAAGAGATCCAAGACAGAGATATACAGAGAGAGAAAGAGGAATCTAGTCTTATCTCTTTATCCTTATTTAATAGCATCAAGTACACACTGTGACCTGCTTTCCCAAAATATTAAATAAACTAAATTTCATATTTTATGCAACGGCTTTGACGGTCCTCACAATTAGAAATGATGATTCTGGAAAGCAAGCTTTTGATGAGAAGGATCTCTACCACTTGAGGCCGCTAAAGGCTTTGAAAGTGAAAGAGCTCTGCTCAAGTCAAATCTTCACAGGCCTAGTGTGGGGGGAAAAAAAGGGGGGAAAACGCTTTTACTGATTCAATCTGAATCTGGGCCAATATGTCAGTGTACAAGTTAAGATTGGTTTTAACCAGCTCCGCTCTTTAGAAATAATCTTCAAAGATAGGAACTAGGTGCAAAAAAAGTGCAAGAGTATAAAGTCACCTGACATACGTTTGGAATTAAAACCAATATTCTGGCACTCCCTTGCACATGCCAGCACTATTTTTTTCTCTAAATTAATGGACATACCAATGATCCGAACCAAGAGTTAAACTTCATTCACATTTGAAAAATCAATGAAGATGTGAATGAAATTGACTACGAAGGAAATGAGACCGCTGGTTGAGGGAAAAGCTTTTAGTAGGACGCATCTGACCCCTTTCAGGTTGAGTCACACAGAAACGTCGGTACCACCACTCAACATTTCATCAAATGACGTCTACAAAGATCTCCTCGTCCTCGACACCCACTTACTCAGCAGTCAACCTTGAGTCATACCAACCACCTGAGAACTCTCACCTACTGTTTACAGAATCAAAATTGAGCTACAGAAGGAGCGTCTCACCTACAGCAGGATAACCTAGAATATCAACACACATTCGTTTTTACATTGTCAACCTATTTTATCCACTTTTCTGGAAAAAAATTGAAAAAAATCTGAGTGACAGACATTACTGCACATCCAAAGAAGCCAACAGAGGAAGCAACAGGAAAGTAAAAGCCAAAACATTCTGCTGGATGCAATATTACGCATTAACTCTTGAGCTTCCAAAAAAGCTGTCTGCATGGTTAGAAAATTGTTTATTATCAACCATCTGACAGATAAGCACTGTGACCATAACGCTAAGGTTGATCTTCAGTGACATTACTGAAACACTAATCATACTAATCATCATCATCCGGCCTGATAAAACAGAGACTGCTAAAATGTTCAGTGAGTAAAGCTGGAAAGCTAAATCATAGCTTTCCAGCTTTCTGCATGTTAGTCAAGCAGTTAGATATAGAGTGTTGCCTTTTTGTTGTACAAAGTTGATGAGTAGCATACATGTCACAATCATAGTGTTCATTCTGTCTGCATTGAGCTAAAAGTCGATAAATATATTCAAAATAAATATATATATATATAAAATAAATATATTTGAAAAAAGGGCCGCTCCCCTACACACTGGGAACAGTGAACTTTACAATTATTCAAACAATTCGCACCTACGAAGTGATAGTGGAAAGATTATGACGAGATTCAAACAGGTCAAAATCTTCTATTTAAAACTTGGCAACTTTTGTAAGTGCATGGGGGTATGGAAGGAGATGAATGGAGGAGGGAGGCTCGCTACACATTTGCAGCATTTAACAATTCCAGACCTTTTCCAGACCCTTCCTTTCTAGAATTTTGCCATAACTCCCAAATGCTTAAATGGAGGTTAATATTTGGTCATTTGTGATACTACATAGCAGTATATATCCAATCAAAGACAATCCCTGCATTTTCTTTTAAATCTATTTGTGTCCAGATGTCTGGGAGGTTTGGAAGCTTATAAGGCACTTAGGGGCAGAGCCATGATTATTTATTTATTTTTTAGAAATCCGAATATGGGCAATAGTTCTAGAAACACAATATTTTTCCATACCGCCCTTTTCTTTTTTCTATTCTTATCCAGATCTGGGAAATTTACTAAAAATCAATTTTCCTATTGGCAGAGGAACCCTGTGAGTGAGGGCCTTCAAGACGCATCCCGCAAAAGTGAAAACTCATTGCCACTTGAATCGACCTGAAAAAATCCTGTGGAATTCCTTGAAGATAACTAGTCACATCACTTAGCTTCCCTTAACTACAAGATAGTTAGCTGTAAACAAAAAAAAACAGGTCAGTACCAAGTTACAACATATTCCACAAACATCCACACTCAAGGTAAATCTATAAAGATTCCTGATTTCATGACTGAAATAAACTCTTTAAAAG